TATAAAGAGACTTGGGTTTATGGTTTTCATCTGGATCTGATTTATCTGTTTCATTGACATTATATATATATATATATGTATTAGAGAGATTCATTTAAATAGAATAATAGGAAAAAATTTCCTTATTAAAGAAACTTTTACTGACCAATTGACGATAGATCCCAATATTTTATAGTTCGATCAGCACTGCCACTAATACAAAAATTTTCAGTTTTTTTGGACATAACAACAGAACCAACAGCCTCAGTATGACCAACACAAACGCCCAAACATTTAACCCGATCAGATGCATCTTGACTGTTCAGATCAATCTTCCAAATTCTAACAGTATGATCCTTTGAACCAGAAATGAGAATATCACCTGTATTATTTTTATCCAAACAAATAACTATATCATTATGACCATAAACAATATTAAAGTCAAACGCTGTCATGTTAAACAATCCAATTTGTTCTGTGTTTGTACCTATGGCCAGGTGAGTTTCGTCTGGACCAACAAAAGAAAGATCTAGTATTTCATTGTTGTTACCAATGATTTGTCTATATCTTTTTAAATTTTTGGATAAATTGTAAAATAAAAAGTTTTGATCATCTGTTACTGCTATTAGACTTTTACTTTTCCTTAAATATCTGTTAATTGATGGAATTATTGTTAATGATATTAACAATTATCATGATAAATATCATTGTTCATTGATTGATTGATTTATAATTATATAGCATACATTATATCTTTTATTGTGTATTTTGTATTTTTTTCAGGTTCTTGTGACATAAATAGTTTACCGGTATGAAGTTCCCATACCCTAATTATACCTATTCAATATTTATACAATAATAATTCACTATTATTATCATTTAATAATATAATAGATATTTTCCCATAAAAATAAATAGGTAATATACCTTTATCACCACCAGTATAAATCAATTCTTTGGATGAACTGCCTGAATCATCAGTAGAATTCTCTTCTAATACACCTATCACTTCAATTGTCTAACATAAATGCACACACATTGTTTTAATATTCTCTTTAAAAATATTTTTTATTGAATCAAATAGTCATCATTTACCTCATAAATTGGAAATGTG